GAAAGAGCACTGTAAGAAGTAGGCTAAGCTTGACAGCTCCGGGGCATCCGGAAACGAGGATGAGGGGCGCTCCAGTTTCCCCTGAGTGGATCCCCAATTTCCCCGGGTATATCGGATTTAGCACTCCGGGGGTGCATAGGTTGGGTTGGAATAGTAATGCAGTGGAGAGGGTTCATAAGCTGCATAGTTAATTGATCCTCTGACATACTAGTAACAGTTACTTGACTTGTAGTTATGATGAAGTAGCTAACGGTTGCTGTGTTGGGGTGTGCTGTTTGGTGAGTATCCTTGTATGTGATTAACTACTTGATATTCAGACAGAGAAGCCTACATTCCATGATTTAAGGGATGCTTATATCGTTGCCATAGGTCGATGGTTTAAGTATTAGAGGGGTAAAGTGTAGGCAACTACATCAACATATGCGGATGCTTCTATCATACTATAGGATTTTGCCGATTGTTGGTGATATCTAGATACTAGGGCATTTATCTACAAGATCGATATCCATCAATCACTAAATGCAATATTCAAGACGACATAAATCACTAGATGTGGATACTTGTTAATATCATATCCCTATACCATCATGCCAGTCACGGATTAACCTACTAAGCTTCACGCACCTATTCACGTCACGTGAGATGCCCTACGATGAATCGCCCTCTACGTGAGTATCACTTACAACACACTCATCAACATGGCAATTCCCTATTCCAAAACCATGGGTAACTCCCATTAATCCAATACCCTCACACTAGGAAACTACCATGCCATTCATCAAAAAGCATACGTACTACTATATAGCCACTAAAGAATGCCTACCTTTCCTCTTACCCTGCGCTATACAACCCTCACCACCATCACCATCCCCATCTAATACATTCCAGTTAATATGTCCTCCCCAATGGACCTCTCCCACCCTCTACCAACCCCCTACCCCAAAAAGTCCCTCTACGACCCTCCTATCCGCATCCTCGTCGACACCCGCATCCACCTCCTCCCAGGTGACACCAACGAAGACCGCAACACCTTCCTCATCAACCACATCTGCCACCTACACTGGCACACCGAATTCATCCCCTCCAAGCACCGCCGCTACGCCTTCAGCACGGAGCGTTACCCTATCGAGTCTACCCGCTGTTTGTTTCTTGTTGATTGCGGCCAGACCGCAAGCAAGGAGGAGGATGAGGATGTTCCTGTGGTGTATTATAAGTGGACGGGGGGGTATTTGTAAGATTGCCTACTAACTACCCACTTTGATCTTTACTAGATGTATTAGGTTGTGATGGTTTGTAGTTGAATGCTAATTTGATATCGATGGATGAGTTAGGACCCCCCTACCCATCCTATCCTACGAAGCCTGGATCAAGAATAAACTCAAATACGTGTATCCGTTTACTCCTGCGCCGAATTGGCAGAATGGCGTTAATCGGGATCGAGAGCGAGAGATGCTTTTGTCCAAGGTGTTGTGGGCGAGTAGTAGTGGTGGGGCGACGGATGATGATTTGAGGGCTTTGAGGGATAATGAGGAGGATTGGGCGTGGTTGAGGGCCACTTTAGATCCGGATGTTTTTGGTGGGTTTTTGTATGAGGCGAGGAGGAGAATTTATTGATATCATTTAGTAATTGGGTAATAGATGATGTGGGTAGTGTTTGGTTTGAGGAAGGTATGGGTTTGTCTCTTGGGGGTAGTCTGGGATGGTGGTAGGGTTGCTGCTTCTTTCGGATATGGTTGCATCTTTGTTTCCACACTGATAAGTAGTATGGATTTGATGGTTTGGTGCAGGTATGGTAGTTACTTAGGTGGTTGTTTAGGGAGTAGTATGAAAAGAGAATCATGTCAAACTGAAGTCAATTTCCTAGAGTAGACGAGGGGGTTGATATGACATATGGCAGGCTTTTGATGATAGCTAGATAAATAAGTAGAAGAGTCGTATAACTAGAAGGCCTGGACATCCGCACAATCGAGGTATTACAATATAGTAGTGAGTACTGCTCATTGCTTCGCTAGCGACCCATTAACATTTAGTGTAGTTGCCAGTCTATTTGAACTAATGACACCTTTACTTCGCTGGGCATACATCCTCGAAAGAGCCCGATCTGATACTCTGTTTTTGTCGTGTTGAGCCTCGTCGGTATGGCCCAGCTATATTGTTCTAGGGTTCTGTTCGCAGTGTGATTGACGATGAGTTAATGGGTGTATGTGTCCCACATATTTCCCAGTCCCTACTACTAGTAGTATGGAACCCGGTAGTCGAGAAGTATGCATTTTCTTCCCCACCGAGACCTCTTGCAGCTGTTGCGCATAGCGATGGTACCAGCAGCTCGACTGATATGAGGCACCTCCCGAAACATCCAAAGAAGTACAGCGGAGCGCACGCTGAGCTTTTGCTCTCTTGTTGGTAGCCAGAAAGAGACCTGGGTGGTATAGGCTGCATGGTCGCATTTTTCGGGGGTCAAAGCTAACTGAGGAAGGCATGAGTTAGAAAGATCCCTGAACCATGTCGGCCAGTGGCAGTGCGCGGCTTTTTATACCTTTTTGAGCACATCACGGGGAGGGCTTACTGTGGCGGAGCTGGAATGCATATGTTTGCTTTTCATCACATCTCATAAGAGCGACAACTCCCTTCAGAGCAGGTCTTTGCTGACTTGATAGATTTGTTAGAAAATTGCCTAACTGCAGATTCTTGTTTCGGGCCCCCGGAAACAATGAGCACATCTTGGAAGTACAACTGTTCAGGCCCATCTCCCGAATGGATCGCCAACAGTGATATCACAGGCACCGGTGTAAGCCTATTCCGAAGAGAGCACAAGGCTAGTCTAATCTGCATCCTACAGGTTGTCTTCAGCTACATCATAACAGCCGGAATAGTGGTCGTGGTTCTTGCACTATACTACTTTGCTGCATATGATCCCTCTCATGATCCATTTCAAGGGACCAAAAGGAACAGTGCACCCAGGGCCTTTCACCCTAACCCAGTGGACGCACTTATACTCGAGGATTCGAGACGTATAGCAATGACTTGTCTGGGTGCATTTGGTTGCATTTCCATCAATAATACCAGTTTTGAGGAAGCATTCATCAGGGTTTCTCCCCTCCTCTAAGCCTCCATGGTTATTCTTCTGTCATGCTTTACTGACGCGGGTCATAACCATAGTGTATCATCGCATTCAGTGACATGCAGCTCTTGACTGGCTATTCTTTACTTATCAGTGGTTTTTCGCAGCTTCGCTCTGGTCTACAAACATTCTACTGGCAAGTTGTCATAGGTCTGACCTGGTTCTCTACCATTACACATCTTTCTTGCCTGACGGCGTTGCGCAATCACCTTTATCTTCACTCCTCTGAGCGTACATGGCGGCTAGCTGCCATGGCTATATTGTGCGTTCTCTTGGCGATTGGCCTAGGATTTACCGCAAACTATGATTGGGTCTTTTTTGGCGGCGGGGACGAACCGAATTACGGGGATGCTGCAATATGCTATATTCGAATCAGATCGCCATTGGGACAAGCTTTCTATACTATGCTATTCTCGGTCCTGCTTATAACCTTTTCATTCGTGGTGCGCATTGTCAAGCTCTATCGATTCCTTTCAGTGGATATCTTCACCAGGGCAAGGTCGAGGGTCAAACACTGGACATATACAAGCTTACGGATCGTGCATGACTGGTCAGATGCATCAGCCCAGCCGCCCAGCTTGAAATGTATGATCTGCTATTATCCATTATTAGCAGCTAAGCTATCGGCGGATCTGCTTGTCGATGGATGGGCGTCTGTCTTCATGGAGGCTAGTTGTCCTTCCCAATTCCCCGCTTGTTTCTAACGCGATCTGACATCAAATACAGATCTTCTGGGTAGCTGTGGCCTATTCCTGGGGTATTTATCGGTTGATTGCCACGCTTCAGATGACATGGAAGCCGACTGGATTTCTCAATGGGTCGAGCGATTGGACGTTTGGCCAGGTTATTGCGATGCTACTGCTCGCCGGGCCCCTCATAACGATAGTGGAATCATTTCAATCCGATACTGGTGGGTAGAGTTCGGGAGTCCAGCACAGAAGGGTCCTAATACTAGACACAGGGCAAGGAAAATACCATCCTACGGGAAATGCGACCCACGGGCTCTCCGCGCAAAATGTACCCACGGGACAAACAATGATTCCTGCTTCCGGTAGATCCAGCCCTATTCTCGCATCATCCAGAAATAGTCGGCTTCCTGGGCATGCCACCTGGCGCTCATATCGCAGCATTCTACGTATGTCCTGTGTCTATTGCATGCTGATGTCATTGCCAATGTTGGGACTTTTTATTTTTGCTGCTATAGGAGAAGGTTCTTTCATAGAAGGATTTATCATGTTGGGCGCGGGTCGTTCATGTTACTTCTTTCTCTTTATTCCACTGATTGGCCTTTGGGAGATGATTCTCTTGTCGCTCGCATTCGATGAACTATTGAATGGGCGGAAGCGATGGGAAAGAGTTACCCTGTGCCTTCTTAATGTCTCTGTCTGCCCTTCCTGTTGTCTATCCTGGATGCTATTGTTTTGTCGTTTTGGCGGAAGCGCGAGTATTGTCTGGCTAGGTGTTATGCAAGCAACGCTCTTTGTTGTCTATGGCCTTGTTGTAACTCTGCGTGCAGTCCTCTCTCGCCAATAGCGCAAGCGGCTTTCACAAGCCATTCCAGGACAGTACGATATCATTGCAGAGGATACCGGGATCAGTGTTGTCAAATATCAGAGTATTTAAAATCAGGTCAAAAACCAAGCTCTTAATAGTTATATTAGGGACAAATACAGTAGTTTCTTATGTTCTAGAATTAAAATTCAAATCAGACATAAGCATAGTGTCTCTTCTTGAATCACATTAGTATCACAGGCAGATCCAGTCACCTGCCCCGTAATTACAAAATTTTATACTCTGATAGTGTATAATTATACAGATTTTTTTTTGTTTCGTTTTTTGTTTTTTGTTTTCTGAATTAGACCATTTTATCTCTCTTATCAGTTGATTATCTATTAATATATAATTTTAACATAGCAGTCACAGGATGAGGTGTGGGAGACTGAGGTCTCACATCAGGGACAGTGGCAGTGGCAGGCTAGCAAAATCATTCTGTAGTATTTGTAGTGCTTGACTAGATAGTCTCCCCGAGTAGAATTCCGCTGATCAGTCCTCCTCCGCCTAATCCTAGGGCAGCTGCAACTTTCTTCCCTAAGCTTTTCTTCTGCTTCTGGTTGTGGGGAGGCTGGGATGGATCATAGGTGTTTTGGTATGGATTGAGATACTGATTCGGATATGCAGGGTACGGGGAATAAGTAAGGTTGTGATTATAGCCGTTGTAACTGTATTGTGGCTGCTGGTAGCTAGTGTATCCTTGTTCTGGGTTTGGCGCGTAGGCAGACTGTGACGAAGGCTGTGGAGTGTACACTTCCGGTAGGTTATGGTCATCTGGATTCGGATCTCCTTGGCCCACTGGTCGATGGCGTGTAGTAGTAGTAGTAGCAGCCTCACGACTGGGTGGGGGCCCGGCAGGAGGCGGAACGGGTCCAGCAGGCGGGGCTGGCTGGTCTGGTCGTTCCCAGTGGGACTGTCTGGTATGGATATTGATATAGTACCTGTTATAGTGTAGTAGGGCCGTCAGTGGTGTTCATACAGAGATGAAGTAGCAAAGGAAGAAGGAAGAGAAGAGTTTTATACCTACCATGCTTGATACCGATCGTCAAACTCGGCTTTCCAACCCTCGGGTACAGAGGGAGTAGGCGGAGGCATATTGACGTTGATCGAATTGATGATGCTCAAGGGGTAGTACCAGGTATGGCAGTCCGCAAATTGTAAGCAGAATATGGCACAGGGGTAGATAGATGCAATATAAATAGGGAGGCGCTATAGCTACATCAGCAAATCCCACGTGATGGTAGGCAACCACACACGCATGACTTAGACCTCGCCAAACCCCTCCCATGCCCTTGGGTACTATCTGCATACGGGCACCCAGCGGCAGATCCAGGATTTTAGTGCAATAGTGTGAGACTCTAACCAGGAAAATAGTTGGGTCAGCCTCGCAGCGGGATCCCGATACTGAAGGAGCTCCTGCAGTTATATTTTAACAACTGATATCCATAAATCTGTTGATATCTCTTTCACTAAGTCTGATATCAGACAATCTTCATTATCTCATTATTCTTCCGAGTAGAAATGAAGGCTACGTTTGTACGCCGCCAGTAATTTTGTGGGAAGAGATTCAGCTGAAGCATCCCCGCTTGTCCTTGTTTCGGATCAGACCTCCAACCTATGTAAGCTCCCTTCTGCTAAAAGCAAAAATACAACGATTGGATCTTGGAAAACAAGCATAGAGAGTAGCGCTAGGATTGCCTGGACCCCACTCCCTTTTCTTGGCCCTGGTCTCTCAGCTCACTCGAATGGCTGAGAGGGAACGGACGTGACTTAAAAAGGAGGCTGGGCACGTAGATAAGCAACTTACTTAGTAGATTGTGGAAAGACCGAATAACCAATCATACCGTTCCATAGTGGCACAGGCCGTTCTCGGGGTCGGAGGATAGAAAAGGAAGAAGGAGATAGAAGGATGATCTCACTTTACCAGCCCCAGCATCTCTAAGCTTAATCTTCTTAAGGTGTTTGTACATTCCTGCCCAACCATACTAGCTTCTTGGGAGTCTCTGACCTGCTATAGACAGCATTCACTGAGAAGCATACTTGAAAGCAGGCCATGAGCGCTCCCGACTACGCCTTGGCAAATTACTTTTCTGAACCCATAGGTTACCCACCAAGATCACTAAGCAAGGCAGACTCGCCAGGCATAACACAATGTCTATAGAGGATATCTTTTTGCCTAGACCAGTCAGGGCTACTATCAATCTAGTTAATGTGGCGCTCTGGTTGATTCATATTTACCGAAGCTTTTAATGGATGGTTAGCTCGAGATACCAGTCTTTTACTAAATAGCCTAGCAGTCAATCTCCAGAATATTCACTGCTTCAAGCGCACTAGGTGCGAGAGTCTGGAATCTACTATAGTATAAGCTGTCATAAACAAACAGGAGCCTGAAGTACATACTTCTAGTCATGATTATATTTTACATAAGAAAAGTCATTATATCATATATTCTATATAACATCTATCTCTATAAAATAGTCTATTAAAGATTGTCAAGATGTAGAGCAAAACGTATGTGTATTCAATCTATCTAGAATTCAAAAAGGCGGGTGGTTTAGAACTGAAGAAGTGGTGGTCGGAAACCACGCAAGGAAGAAGAGGTGGCGGAGGGGCAGCTGACACCTGCCTGACTGCAGTAAATGTCTTAGCATAAATTTTTATTCAAAAGGCTGCTAACTGTGCCTGTACAATATCGAATATACGTAGTAAATATACAGACTTTCTTGATAAGCTTATGTCATCGTAGTTTCCAGGATCTTGTAAGGAGCACTTGTTTTAGTGAACTGGGTGCCAACCAAGAATGCCTGGCTTAGTCGCTGTTGGTCACATTTCAGGTTTCGCGTTGCTCACCTACGATCTCATCAATTATGACCCCCGGGGCGCACTAGGCTGATGTTGAGTGGAGTTTGTCCGTTGTCGATCGCCCCCACCTCAGGTTGAGTGTGTCTCCTGTCCTGAATTCGGTTTGTGTGAAGTTATAGAATGTTCCAGGTTTGCAGTTAACAAGGCCGTGTGTGGACATTGCTAGCCTCCACAGTGGGTAGTCGCTCGGGCCAGGCTCTAGAATAGGGCTCGTCGCTCATGACGGGGGACAGGCCTCGAAATGATATCCAGATCATTAAGCCGGACGGCTAAGCCCATGGAGACAGAGTATGACAATACTTCTAATATTAGTCGGTTCTTGATTAATGCAGACATCCAGGTTCGTTTGATATTCGCCAATCAGACTCTCAATATTGAGCAGAATGTCTGGTCTGCGTGACGCGGGCTTAAAACTCCGACACCAGCTTGTGCTACTCAAAAGGGGGGTGTCTCCTCACACGGCCGCTTCAGCCCGCGCTGGGCTCAGAACATCCCTGCGGCTGTTTGGAAGACATCACAATTATTGGTGGTCGAGGTCGATCACTACTCTTGTCAATCAGCCGGTTCGCATACGGCCCTACGCCGTCCGTGCCGGACTGAGTCCGTTCTGCGACGGTCCGTTGCTGTAAGCGCCGGTTGGCTTAGATTGTGGTTCCGGCTGCGTTAGTGCTACACTGCCAATTTATAGCACTCACATCTCAATCAAGCAAACATGTTTAGCGTCAGGAACTGCGAGCTGGTGCTTTACTCATACGGGCATGGGTCATCCGCAGATTAATTGGACTCGCTGGGGGATTGCCTGGGCACTGCGAAAAATAGAAAAGCGTTATTATCCCCGCTGCGTCAATTCACCCATTGACATGGCTGCGCCATGCACAACCTTCCAGGACTTTCTTATTCTCATTTATCTTCACTCGAGACATGACTTCTCCAGTCTTTCTTTAGATCACTACAATGGCAGCACTCCGATCACAACATCGGCGACGAATCGCTCTAATTATCTTAGGAATAATTGCCGTTTTCACCTGGACTTTCGCAGCGTCACGATCGCAAAGTGCCGACGAAGCTACCAGCCATGGACAGTTCTGGTCTGAGTTCTACCCTATACTCATGGCCTCAGAACCCTACTCCAATTCTCCAACAAGAGTCGCAAACGCCGATTCTGTGGGATTCGACCCCAAGAACACCGATCCGCTACCTGACCTCCTGCGCCTCTCCAAAGAGGACGTCTACGCCATGAGAATCTCACACAGCAAGTTCGTCGACTTGATTGATCAAAATCCACCGAGCCTACACTACCAACCACACACTCGCGGCCTTGTCTCGACAGCCGGCGGGTCTTACCTCCCCGTCCTCGTTATCTCCCTGCGAATGCTTCGCCGAAGTGGCTCGACGCTCCCGATGGAAGTCTTCCTCGCCAGCTGGGATGAGTACGATGGTTATGTGTGTCAAGTTGTACTTCCTTCTCTGAACGCGCAATGTATCGTTCTCTCCGAGATTCTCGACGCCATTCCCGACAGCAGGTCCATCGAGAAATATCAATACAAAGTCTTTGCCATGATGTTCTCCTCATTCGAGGAGATCCTCTTCCTAGACGCAGATGCATTCGCTCTCCAGGACCCAGAAGTATTATTTACTTCCGAACCATTCACCTCGAAAGGTCTAGTCACCTGGCCTGACTTCTGGCGACCAACAACATCACCACTATACTACAAGATTGTATCACAGGATGAACCCGCACCCGGCAAAAACAAAAAGCAGAGCCAACACCAACACCAACACCAACAGCAAAACCCCGCTACAATTCGCCAATCCACCGAATCGGGAGAACTGCTCCTCTCCAAACGAACCCACACACGCACCCTCCTCCTCGCCGCCTACTACAACTTCTACGGCCCCAGCCACTACTACCCCCTCCTTTCACAAGGCGCCGCCGGCGAAGGAGACAAGGAGACCTTCATCGCAGCAGCCATCGCCCTCAACGAGCCCTTCTACCAAGTCAGCGAGCCAATCCGCGCAGTAGGTAGAGGAACGCCCGATGGCTTCGCAGGGTCCACCATGGTCCAGTACAATCCAATAGAAGATTATGCGTTGACCAAGAAAGGCGAGTGGCGCATCCGGGGCGCATCCGTACCACCCCCACAACCGTTCTTTGTTCATGTCAACTTTCCCAAGTTCAATCCGGCTACGGTGTTTCATGATAACGGGCCGGTTGTGGATGAGAACGGGAGATATACGCGGGCGTGGACGGCGCCGGATGATGTGGTGGAGGCATGTGGAGGGAAGAAAACGGAAAAGGCGTATTGGAAACAGATTTTGTGGACGGCGTGTGCTCTTGAGGGTAAGAGTATTAGTTGGAAGGGGAGGGATGATATTTGTTCGAAGACGGCGGATTATTGGAGTTCGGTTTTTGAGGGGATGGAGGGGGTGGATCTTGCTTAGGGGGTTAATAGCATAGTAGTACCTACTGAGTACTAGTTGTCCATGAAGTCTTGTGCTGGTTGCAAGAGGTGAATGGGTTGTATATAGCATGGAATATGTTCGGGTGTTTGTAATTGATGTCTTATAAGGTCACTACTGTGGACTTGTTTTATAACCCGTTTTTGATTTACGGACACTGGAGAGTGCCTTTTACATGAGGTTTCATAGATACTGCTATTAGGTACTATGACTGATGTTCTTTCGAGCGTCTAACATAAAAAAATAAGAGGAATTACCGGTCATCTTGACAAGAGGTGGATTTAATAGCCCGCTACAGTTGATCATGCTGTCTATATATTCTGCTTCTAAGACAGCCAAATAAGCTTATTGAATGGTTTACTGGACAGCTACTACTAGTTTTTGAATTGGTGATGTATATTACAATGGTGCTACGGCATATATTCTACGTATATATCTAAATACTAAGCCGACTATGTGCTACATACTACCTAGTGATAGGTAATAGTATATATGCGACACAATGACACAATCACTAGTTTGTACCATACATAACCATAAGCTACTACAAGCCAAGGCATTCTGGTCTAGCAGGTCCAATATATAAATGCTCCATAGACAGTATGAGTAATAGAATGATTTATATAGGTCAAGCGGAATATAGTACATTCTATTCCATAAGTAAATCATCATGGCTCTATATCTTCAACTGGATGTTATCCTTCTATCTACGTGAAAAGTAATCCAGACTTGGATATATACTTACCTCAGCGTGACATGCCTTCATTTAACTCCCATTGCTGAGTTATCATATGCAATATTCGAGAATGATCATACCAAATGCCTACGAAATCAGAGAACGTACTAGT